TTATAGAAAAAAAAGTACAAAAATGTCCTCTCGTTATGTTGGAAACTACTCATACTTTGAGAGCTGCTAGTGATGGAGGTGTGCGTATGAGTGCGTTCATGGAGTTCTGTGCAAAGAACTCTGCTCAAGAAATCCAGTCCAGGAGGGGACTCCAGCTTTCGTCCTCTGATATTAGCAACTAACCCTCTAAATTTGAAAGATGTAATTTATCAACAATGTAATGTTTGAGGGGCAAAAACCCACAACACAACTCTGAGTCAAATTAGCACATGTCAGGATGTTCCTTCTCTAACATCTATAGTGTTGAAGGAGGTTAACGTTTTAACATTTGGAAAATGAGTTGTGCAGAAATAGGATTTTAATTCAGGATTCTAATTTTGACTCCTTCAGAGCTGAGAGTTAAACTAGGAAGCTTTTTAAACTCCCTGGCTTCTATTTCCAAGTCTCTGAATGGGAAAGGTTCAAGTGAGGGGTAGTTAGTGCTCGTAATGCCTCATCATCCTTGCATCAACACGAGTTTTATTGCTGAGAGTCAAGAGGACATGAACTACTTGCTGCAGAAGATTATAGACTAAGCCTTCCGTATGGGTTACATCTCAGTATTAAGAAAACAGATATTCTCACAACTGCACTTATAGGTAATATTAAAACAGTTGGAGAAAAGATAGAAGTTGTCAATGATTTTATCTTATTTGGATCCACAACCAACATGCATGGTAAAAGCAGTTGAAAAATCAAGACGTGTTGTAGTGGGAAAAATCTGTTGTCAAGGACCTCTCCAGAGAGCTGAAGAGCAAAGATGTCAGTTTAAAGCAAAGGTGTGCCTGATCCAATATATAGTCTTTTTAATTACTTCCTGTGCATCTGAAAATTGAACAATGAATGAGGGTGGCAGAAGAATTGATGCCTTTGAATTGTGCTATTGGAGAAGAGTAGTGACTATTCCATTGTAGCTAGGGGGCTTCTTGGAGACAAGTATGATGAAACTTCAGACTTTGGGCATTTTGTCAGAGAGACCTAGTCCTTAGAAAAGTACATAATGTGGAGGATCAGAGAAAGTCTGATGACTTTAAAAAGTCTGACGAATTTAAGCATATCTGTGATGATGAGGAAGGTACGTGGTAGGACAAGGTTCTGATCTGGTGTTACAGGTCAATTTGACTGATACTCAACTTGATGGAACAACAAAAACAACATAACAGAAGTATTACATACAATAAGTATGTCATGAGTACTGTGGGAAACACAGTTAACACTTCCAAAGAGGATTCTCTCTCCTTCCTCTCTTCTTTGCCCTTGGTCAATTAGAAATGCATGTTCTCTCTTAGAAAGTTCAAGACTCAGTAGCCCCAAGGACATGCAAAGCAAATCTGCGTTTTAAGAAAGGACAATACATATAATTTTGGAACTTCAGGGAGCTTAGAGATTACTACAATCCCCACTTGGATAAAAAGAAAAATGGTAAAGACACAAAGACTTACTTCTTTCTGATTCTTAAAGACATTGATTTTCTAAACATCTGTCCAGGAAGCTTTCCAGTGCCTCTCTTTCAACTTCAATAGTAAGTCCTTTTTATAGTAGGATGAAGGTAGTTGGGGCCTAATCACTAACACAAATCTCAGAAGAACTAGGGAACAGGAGCAATGGGTATTACATCATGAATCACCCCTCTTGGGTTTAAATGAAAGTCTCTTGCATCAGGAAAATAATCATAAACTTTTCTCACATTTCCTATCATTTCAAAATTACCAGTCTTATCTCAAAAATTTCAGGCAAGGCACAGATGTGAAATTATGATGGTAATTTTACTTTTGTGTTTCCTTTAATAATAGAACAGTCATCTTTTGCAAATTCCAAGTACTTAGTGATGTCCTCTCTGTGAGCACTGATGTTCCGAGCTTGACCAGTCATGAGCAGGCTGGGAAAAGAGACTGTAGTCTCACAGCAAACAACTTGCTATGTGTCAACCACTTTCACATACATGGTGTAATCGTTTCCTCATAGTCACCTGGTCAGATAAGTTTAGCCTTGAATTTAAATAATGATCCATTAGTTCAGGTGATAAATTATAGGTTCAAGTCCATCAAGAGGTATTTTGGAAAAATCGCTGGTGACTGACCTCTGAAAACCAAGTCACTGAAGATCTTGTTAACAGACATCTTTTCTGATACACATAAGTTGTCATGATGGAACATTCGGAGATGGCTGATCACCCACCAAGTTCCATTAGCTGTCACTTGGTAGAATCAATCGGAATCCTTATCTTTGTATGCTAAATTGACCCTTCTTTTCATTATATATGGCTCTCTTTCCCCAACTTATGGCTATAGTTTTTTCCTTCTTTCTCTCACTATTTTAAACATATTTCCTCAACTTTTCTTCACCTGTGTGCAATGAGTAAGTAGGAAGTTCTTAAATTGCAGTTCACAAGCCACCAGAACTCCCTAAATTAATTGTAGAATAAAGGAAAACAAAATGTAAGGGACGGCGGGAAGGGAGCAAGCTCTGGAATGTGAAATGAAGTGATAGGTTATGGTTTGAACGTGAGGCCTTGTGTTTCTGAGTAAGCAGTAGAACTTGATCTTCTCAGTCATGCAAGTCTAAAGACTTGTTAGCACTGTATAAAGTGATTAAAGAAGTGTTTCATAGCCTTTAACACAATGGTAGCTTATAAAAGAGGCAGAAACTGTTAATAGTTTTCATAGTTTTGTGGAGTTTTGTTGAATCTGAAGTCTGTGCACTCTAAAGAATAAATGTAACAATAAATATTTTTTCCTACTTCAAAAAAAATTGCAGTTCAAAAAGAATAAACAATAGTCTTTGACATCAAGTTGTTAAGGAATGCACCATGCTTGCATTACATTCTCTAAGAACGGTAGTTTTCATCCACTCACATATTTCACAAAAATTCAGGGACTGTCTTTCATATGCTATTGTGCCACTAATGTGAAAATTAGAAAAGAAAGTCAAAAGATACTTTGTGTATTTAAATAGTCATGGATCACTAGATTAATGAGGCATGCATATTTTGTGTTTCATAATCTAGCTTTTAGACTTCAAGAGATTAATTACATTTGTAGACAAAATATACAAAGAACAATAATGGTAGCCTCCATAAATGTAAATTGTGTTAAAATGAAAAGTCTGTGCTTCTATTTCATTCTTCATACCAAAGATAACAAAAATCAAATGCAAGTTAGAAATACTTGAAGATGTTTTTAATATCTATAATATAAAAAATAACAGTTACTAAAGAAAATATAAGAAACTTTTACAAATTAAGGAGGCTCTGGGGGTATAGTCCATAGAATGCTGCAAAATAAGATGACTATAAATTGTTGACTGGGAAATTAATACATTCTATAAACTTTCACTCAAACAACAACAAAATGCAAGAAAAAATATATTTGGGCCAGAATTTACTACCAATTGTGTATCTGTGAAAGGAAATTTTTCACAGGTATACAAGGTGAGTTACACAAGAATTACTGAATGTCCTTATTATCAAGAAATATAATAAATACAGTTGTCTAATGCCTTAGTTGTTTAGAGTAGCTTTGATAGAAATACCACATTTAGATGGTTTTCAGAGTCAGAAACTTGTTGTCTGACAATTTAGGAGGCTAGAGTCCCAAGCCAAAGTTATAGCTTTCAGCATTCATTGCACCTTAACTGCACGATAAAGGTTTTTATCTGCTGTACATAAAGTCACTGTGAGTTGAAGTTGACCTCAGGGCCAATAAACAATAACTATTTAATAATAATAGTAATAATAATAATCTTTTAACATTTTATCCAGAGTTTGGCAAAAGTTTTCAGAGAAAATGAATTTTCCATTCAATAATTTGTATGTATTTTTTTTTCATGCCATTGTTTACAATCTTCACAAGGTAAATAATACTCATCATGGTAAGGAATTATGCTGCTAGCACAAACGTCCAT